TAATTTGGTAATAATTCTTGAGTTTGATGAATTTGGTAGTGATTCTTGTATTGGTCATTTGATGATTCTTGTATCTTGTATGTATTGATCAATTATAGAACTTATATATACATAATTAAGCTTTCAAACATTCAATAACTTAAAAGAGTCATCAAACATCTCATACATAATTAAGCTTTCAAACATTCAATAACTTAAAAGAGTCGTCAAACATCTCATACAAACCAACTGTGTTCAAATTCAAACAAATCAAACATCTCATACAAACCAACTGTGTTCAGATCCAAACAAATCAAAACATGTCATACAAACCATCAAACTGTGTTCAAATCCTCACAAACCATCAAACATTAAACAGCCAAATATTCAACATTCAAACATCAAACTAGCTAACAAACATACAAAATAACAAAAGTACAATCTTGTTCAAACTTGATCACTTCTTCATCTTGGAGGCTGACTTGGAAGCAACTACTGACTTGGAAGATGCCTTGGAAGCAACTACTGACTTGGAAGATGCCTTGGAATTTGTGATGGATGCAGAGGCTGACTTAGAAGAACTTGCACCAATTTCAGAGCCTGAGTTTCCCTTAAGTTGATTGGTCACTGATGATGCTAAATTGGATAGTGTTATGAAATTAACACCTCATTTTACAATCATTGGAGCCTGGATTGTTGGAGAAGATTGACTTGGCTGTAATTAATAAAAAAAATATAAATTAATATAAATATTTATTAAAAAACATAATTATGAAAATATTAATTTAAATACCTTAAAGGATCCAATTATGTTCCTTCTGCCCGTTACTGTCATTTTCTTCTGAGGTCTTCTAAACTGCAATTTTGAACAAATAACTTGCATAATTGAAATTTTATATATTATATAAGTTGAGATACTGAAATTAAAAAAAAAATAATACAATTATAAACCTATAGTTTTTCTTTATCTTTTGCAGTCTGAATTGGTGGTTGAGGTACTTGTGGAGTTGAAACTGAAGCTTGAGTTGAAGCTTCAACTTCATTCATTTGGTTTCCTTGCTCAGCACTCATACCATCACCCTTGCTCCCTTCTTGAACCTGTGAAAACTTCCTCCTTTTGCATGTCTTAGACTTTAGTAGGTGTTTAATGGATGCTAGGTTGGATGATTTGGGCTTCACAGGTTATCCGTTTACATGGTCGAATAATAGAAAGCACCCACATACAACCAAAGAACGCCTTGATCGTGCTTGTGCTACACAAGATTGGAAAAGCCTTTTTCCAAAATATCAGGTTACACATCTAGAGGCCCTCAATTCAGACCATTCACTGATTCGGATTGAATTCCATAGCCGGGGCGGAGTGAGTAGGAGCCGGAGGAAAAAAGGCTTTAAGTTCGAAGCAATGTGGCTAAAGTCGGTAGAATGTGAAAAACTTGTTGGCGATTCTTGGAGGAATAGTTCTACCACTGGCGAACTCAATGATCTAGGAAGTGTGTTTGAAGTTTGCAAACAAAGATTGCAAAGCTGGAGCAAAAATTCCTTTGGAGGGGTCTCAAAACAAATCAAATCCTTTCAAGAGAAAATTTTTCGATTAAAGAAGGGCCTTCTCAACGAAGAAACGTGTCAGCAGATCAAGAGTTTGAGTGAGAAATTAGAGGATCTCCGGGATAAGGAGGAGATGATGTGGCGACAACGAGCTAAAGCTCACTGGATAAATGAGGGAGACAAAAATACCAAATTTTTCCATGCGAGAGCTTCGGCTAGAAAAAAGAAGAATACGATTGAGGGTTTGAAAAATTCAGCAGGAATTTGGTGCGATAAAGATGATGAGTTGGAAAATATTGTGACTGAGTATTTTCGAGATATGTTTAAATCCTCAAATCCGACGAATGAGGATTTGAATGAAGTCTTAGAATCCATTGAGCCGCGGATCAATAATTCTATGAATATGGAGCTTTCACGAGCATATTCAGCCTCAGACGTCAAACGAGCTATAGACGACATGCACCCTTTAAAGGCACCTGGACCCGACGGCTTCCCAGTACTGTTCTACCAGAAGTTCTGGCATATTGTCGGGGAAGACGTCACAAAATGGGTGTTGAGGTTTCTTAATCATATGGAGTTCCCGGCGACATGTAATTCTACTAATATTGTACTCATTCCAAAGTGTGCGAATCCGGATAACATGACTCAGTTTCGGCCTATAAGTCTGAGTAATGTTATTTATAAGATTGCGGCTAAAGCAATAGTAAACAGATTGAAGCCTCTTATGAATCATATTATCTCGGATTCTCAATCTGCATTTGTACCTTCTCGGCTCATTACAGACAATATACTTATCTCATATGAAGTAGCACATTACATGAAGCGTAGTCCGGGGCAAAGTATGGCTGTAAAGCTAGATATGAGTAAGGCGTATGACCGCATTGAGTGGGTTTTTCTCCGTAATATGTTGTTGAAACTGGGAATGGATCTCCGTGTGGTTAATTTAATCATGAAGTGTGTGAGTACAGTTAATTATTCTTTTGTTTTGAATGGGGGCGTTTTCGGTTCTCTTTGCCCAGAGAGAGGTCTGCGGCAGGGTGACCCGTTGTCACCTTATCTATTCTTGTTTTGTGCCGAAGCTTTGAGTGCTTTGTTTCGGAGAGAGGAAAATATGGGCCGTTTAGATGGCCTTACTATCTGCAGAGGTGCTCCAGCAATATCTCATCTTCTATTTGCAGACGATACAATGATTTTTTGTAAAGCAAATGAGAAGTCTGCGAAAAGCATTAAAAATATACTCAATATCTATGGGAGAGCATCGGGCCAGAAAGTCAATTTCCAAAAGTCTAGTATCGTTTTTAGTAAACGGACAAAACAGGAAAATATTGATCGGATTAAATATCTCTTGCCCATGGCAGTTGTGGATAAGCATGAAAAATACCTTGGACTTCCAGCAATTGTAGGAAAATCCAAAAGAGAGGTGTTTGGCCACATTAAGGAAAAAATATGCAGTAGACTTATGGGGTGGAAAGAGAAATGGCTCTCTCGGGGCGGTAAGGAAATTCTTCTTAAATCGGTTGTTCAAGCTATTCCAACCTTTGCAATGAGCTGCTTTCGTCTACCAGAATACTTCACGAGAGATATCGAAAGCCTTATGGCTAAGTTTTGGTGGGAAGGGTCTAACGGCAAAGGAGTTCACTGGATAAAGTGGCAAGAAATGTGCAAAAGCAAGCGAGCAGGTGGTCTCGGATTCAGAGATTTAGAGGCATTTAATACATCTCTACTTGCAAAACAATTATGGCGATTGTTGGTGACCCCGGAGAGCTTGCTTAGCAGAATATTGAAAGCAAGATATTATCCAAATGTACATTTGTTCGAAGCCACTTTAGGATCAAACCCATCATACACCTGGAGGAGTTTATGGAGTGCAAAAAGCCTTCTTGAAGCAGGTGCTCGTGTGCGGATCGGGAATGGACGTTCAACCAATATTTGGGGGGATCGATGGCTGCCACGAGAAACTACATTCCAGATTTTTTCCCCCAGGGGAGATCATCCAATGGATATGAAAGTTAGTGAGCTGATATTGGAAAACGGGATATGGAACGACGACCTTATCCGTGGATTATTTTTTGAGGAAGATTGTGAGTCTATTCTGTCCATTCCATTAGGGAGCGGGAGAAATGAGGATCGGTATATATGGCATTATAATCGGAATGGGAGATTTTCAGTTCGGAGTGCGTATCACCTGGCTCTACATAAGGCTGTTGATGGAGAAAATCGTCATGGTAGTTGCTCGAGTGTGAATATTGCGGCGGACTGGAAATGGTTGTGGTCCTTAAAGTTGCCTAGTAAGGTTAAAATCTTTCTTTGGAGAGCATGCAAAGATCTTTTACCAACCGCAGACAATTTGCGGAAAAGAAAGGTAGTAGATGAATCAAGATGTATCTTTTGCAATTGCATAGGCGAACAAGTAATGCATTGCCTATTATTTTGTTCATTATCACGTCAAATTTGGGCTTTAAGTGATGTACCATTCTCAATATATAATACATCAACTAATATTATGCTTGATTGGATATTGGAAATTAAGGAGAAAGCAGGTAAGGAGGTTCTTGGAAAATGTGTAGTTATGTGTTGGGCGATATGGCATACTCGAAATAAAAGATTGTTCGAAGGCATTTACATGGCAGCTAAGGAAACAGTGAGTTTTGCTATTAAATATTGGCATGAATTGTGGAATGCTACAGCAGAAGTGTTGAACTCAAACATTCGAACGAACAGAGGTGTTGTAAGATGGGCTCGACCGGAAATGAATGTTGTAAAAATAAATTTCGATGCGGCCATAAACAAGGTAGATGGGATATGTGGTATAGGAGTTATCGCAAGGACGAACTTAGGTGAGTGTGTGGGATGGATCTCTCGCTGCATTAAACAACCTCTGGATCCCACAGCGGCAGAAGCTCAAGCGGCATTCATGGCGGTCGAAATGGCTCGAACAAATAATTGGAGAAGGATTGTAATTGAAGGTGACTCGATGGAGGTTATCTGCGCAGTTTGTGAACCTGCGATCTCCGAAGCTACGTACGGGAATATTATTGAGGATATTAAGCGGAAGAGGGAGTGGTTCGAGCATTTTCAGATACAACATACTTTCAGAGAGGCAAATCAAGCGGCTCATGAAATAGCAGCTTTGTCAAAGATGGAAAATTTTGCTCTTGAGAATCTTCCTGTTACAATATGTAACATTATATCTGCTGAAAAGCATGTTTGAATAAAATTGCAAGCTTTTTCTTCTCAAAAAAAAAAAAAAAAAGAGTTGTGGTTTGTGCCTCCACATGTTCTGCACTTGTTTGATCTTTTAACTCCAACCAGCCTATGAGGATTTTTTGCAACAGGTGGCTCATCTGCTTCTCTCCTCCTAATTCTTTGAGGCCTACCTACTTTCTCTGTGTAATTGGGTGGTAATGGAGGCTCTATTGTACTGGCAGGCCACAATTCAGGTCCATTTAAAGGAAAGATAGGAGTTTCATAGCATTTCAGATAGGTCTCCACTTTGTAACAATTGTGCACATAAGATTCTGGATCTTCATTTCTGCACCAGTGAGATCCCATTTCCTGCAGCTGCACCTCCTCTCTCTAACATCAACACTGTGCTGAGTTGAAGGTCCCATAATTTGGAAATTCCACTCATCAGACCTTATTGGAATGCACTCTCCAGCTTCTTTCATTGTCTTCATCAACACTTGCTTAATCTTAGGACAGAGAGGACCATCCCACTTAAGTGCTTTTTCTCTATTTATATGAATTCTTGTCATCAAAAGGTTTCTAATAGATTCAAGCAAAGAGATAATTGGTTTTTCTCTTGCATCCAGTATGAAGCTATTGAAACACTTACACATATTATTCAACAAAATATCACACTTGGGATAGGTAGTGAAATGAGACCTAGACCAGTTTTGTGGAGGTTTTTTGGCTAGCCAAATATAGGTATTTTCATCTATCTCTTTCAACTCTTGCATTCTCCTCTGAAATTCCTCAACTCTAGTTGCCCTTGCTGCAGCCCATAATGCTGATTTAATGGCCAATCCAGTGAAACCATTCCTTTTCATGTTACTGTGAAGATGCCTAACACAATACCTATTTTCAGCAGTTGGGAACAAGGTTTCAAAGGCTGGAATCAAGCCCTTTTGCTTTTCAGACATGAATGTCCATGTGTGTTCATTTTCACTAAAGTTGAGATCAATATTCAGCATATTCAAAAACCACATCCAACTCTCTTTTGTCTCACTCTCAACTATTGCATATGCAATTGGATAGATGTTATTGTTTGGATCTAATCCAACTGCACTAAGCAACTGACCCCCATGATTACCCTTTAACCAACATCCATCTACCCCAACCACTGGCCTGCAGCCATTCCTAAACCCAATTTTACATGCACTAAAACACATATAAAATCTTTTAAACGTGTTTTCATCATTCAACTGCATTCTGACAGTAGAGCCAGGGTTACTCCTATCTAACTCTTGACAATAATCCCTTATTTTGCTAAACTGTTCCTCTAAAGTCCCCTGAATCAGTTTCAGAGCCTTTTGCTTTGCCCTATAGGCCTGTGATCTAGATACATTGGCCTTTAAGGTGGACTTTAAGGTGGTACAGACTTCATTTCTAAATTCACTTGTGCCCAATTTTGGATTTTCTTTCAATTTTTTCACAAAAGTCTTCCCAATCCACCCTGATTTAATGCTTGTGTTGTTATAATTCCAAGAGCATTTGTTATGATTTGGATTATAGCTCTTAATTTGCCAAGCACCATCCCCCTGCATCTTTCCCACATAGCAAAACCACTCACATCCATCTTTTTTACAAACTGCCCTCAACCTAATCTTGTCAACCTTCTGAAATTTTATCATCATACCTCTCCTAAAGCAATGACTCTCAATGGCAAACTTAGCCTCATCCCTGCTACTGAAAATTAATCCTAGTTTAAGTTCTGGATTCTTTTTTTCAGTCCTAGGATTGAACTTAGGGTATTTCACCCCAACACTTTCTTCATCACTACCACCACTGACAAAGTCATCATCACTAGCAACAAGATTTTCCTCCCCTTCTTCATTATATAGCTTATCAAACATCCCACCACTTATGAATTCACTACCCTCATCTATCTTACCCTTGCCCTTGTCTAAACCACCAAACTCAGCTTCAGGATCAACATAAGCTTCAAATAGCTTATCATCATCCTCCATATCATACTCAGACTCATAAAAAAATGTCATCATCTTCACTGTCATCACCCTCATCACTTAACTCTACCCCAGTTTCATCTATCCCAATTTCATCATTTATGACAGATTCAGTACCCCCCTCTGAGTTATTAACCTTTTCAATGAACATCTGAACTTCAAAGTTTGAAGGAATACAGTCACCTATGCTAAGAACATTAACATCAGTTTCAATTGGCCTAAAACAATTCTCATGTTTTAGCCAAAATTTGAAACTTCCCTTCTCAGTGTACCCTAAAGCATTTGCAAAATCCCACATATCTAATATACCAAATTGGTCAATATCCAAAAAATCAAAGCATTCTACCTGCCCTCCTATATATGTTCTAGTTGGTTCATGCCTCATAGTTCCACCATAAAAAAAAATTCATGCTAAAACATGTAGGTTCACCCATTTCAACTACGGTGTTTGTGGAAGAAAAAAAAAAAAAAAACAAAAAAAAAAAACAAAAAAAAAACAAAAATTAGACAAATCAAAAATCACATTTTCACATAATTTAACAACATAGCTACAAAGTTAAGGATACTTACTATAGTTTGGAGTCCACTGAAGGCCGGATTCGCTCCTTCTTGACATTTTCTTCTCCATAAATCACCCAAAGCAGCGTAGCTTCTGAGAAGGAAACAACTCTTCAAATGTGAAAATGTTTGGATTTTTTATGGGTTTGTGACTTCGATTTTAGTATGGGTTAGAGCAAGAATGCATATTGGATTGAAAATTTGGGAATGAGTTGAGGTGATTGAAATTGTGAAGTGTGGGAAAATTAGGGTTTATGAGTGAAACGTGATTTGGGATTTGGGATTTGGGAGAATGAGTTAGAGGAAATTACTATATTGTGCCACGTCAATATTTAATTTTCAATATATTATTCCACGTCACATTTAACGGCCACATAGACGTCACGTGAGCCACGCGTGCAATTTCCGTCGAAGTTAGCTGCCGACGTTAACGGCATAACATAAAGTGATCAAAAGTGGCAAGTTTAAGGACATATATAGCGGATTGAAATGTTTGGGGACATAAATCGTTTTAGTGGTAGAGTTTAGGGACATAAACTGTAATTTTCCCTGGATAAATCGCTCCCAATTAGGGATGGCAGCGGAGCGGGTCCTCTCGAAAAAGTGCAATACCAGAACCATTACAATTTAATATAGCTCAAACTATGACTATACCAATATATTTGAAAAGTTAATGAAAATACCATAATCATTATCACGAATATCCGGATACCCACGGATACTTATTTACCATTTAAATTATGGTAATAAAAAATAACTTTGGGTCCGATAACGTTTAAGTAACTCTCAGAAAAGAGGAAGAAAAAAAGAAAAGAAAAGAAAAAGTAAATTATACAAATATATCCTCCTTAAATTATTTAATATTTTATTTAAAATTTCGCCAAATTATTTATTCATATTATGTTGAATTAATATATATATATATATACACACACACACATACACACACACACACACACACACACACACATATATATATAAAACCGGAACCATACCAAAACCATGATCGTAAAGGTAAAACCGGAACCATACCAAAACCACGACGGCTTTCTTTTCTTTTACCAAAATCATTACCAAACCCTAATGGTTTCGGTAACTGATTTTAAACGGAGTGGATACCCGCGAATAGCTGACGGTTCGGATTTTTTTGCCATTCCTACTCTCAATTCTTTCTTTTATTAAAAAGAAAATAAATAATAAATCAAATTCATTGGGATTGGTTTTTATTTATATTTAATATACTTTTTGTAATGACAATTCCACCCATGGTTGAATTCCACCGATTACGATCTGAAATTTTCTAATTTTCGAACATTTTTTTCATTCTGAATTCCGATTCTGATTACGGGTTTTGAATTATTTTTTTTGGAAATGGATGTGAATTGCAATATATATGAAATTGCGATTTCCAGTCCAATTCTAACTTGCGGATTGGAATATTAATATTATGGGGTTATTTTACATACTCCCTATACCCCCTAGCAACCAAATAAACTAGGGATAAACCCAAGCCCAAATCATCCTTTGACATACCCCTGGAGAAGCGAAAGTACTATACTACCCTAATATGCAATTTTCGGCCAAACTGCATTCAACATTTATAGTTCTGCATTTATCATTTTCGCTGATTTATTTATTATTAATTTCCTTTTTTTTTATTATTTTTTTTATAAACCTGTTTGTTATATATATATATATATATATATATATATATATATATATATATATATATATATATATATATATATATATATATATATATATATATATATATATATATATATATATATATATATAACAATATGTTTACAGTACTGAAAATAACTACATGTAACTATAGTACCGACAGTAATTCATAGTTATGTTCGTTTTTTTTTCCTCATATTTTTAGTTGATCAATTGTATACACACACGAATACTGACTTATACAAAATAAATTCATCAAACCCCAAACAAAAATTTACAAATTTCAATATTTTTATTATAAATCACATCAAAACCAATAAAATACAAATCGAAAATACACAAATATACGCATATGTAACTACATGTTACTATAGTAATGTATAGTAATGTACATTAATGTATAAAGTCTGTTGAACAAATCAGATGTAACTTCAAAAAAAAATTTGACACCTTCAAGGAAAGGATCAATGGCCTTCATTAAGCTGCAATTGAAAAATCAAAAACAAAAAGAAATTACTTTAGTGCAAATCAACAAAATTTGAAGAAAAACATCAAAACACTGAAAAATCAACAAAACACTAAGAGATCGAGAGATAGAGAGAGAGAGGTTATTGCTGGGAAATGCTACAAATTTTAAATCAAACAGACAGTGACTCCTCACCCCCCTCGCCTCCTACCAAAACCCTAGACGCCGCTAATAACCACCCACGGTTCCGCGCGCCCACAAATGCAAAAAAATATAGAAATAAATCTGAAAACATAAAAATAAACGAAATTACCATCAATATATAGATCCCGACGAGAGGAATCCAACGATGGGTGACCCGTCAAATTTCGACGGGTGGAACACAAAATAAAGCTCCGGCAAGACCACTGTCCTCGAATGAAAAAACATTGAAGAAACTGACCAGCGCTCGAAACTGAATGAAATCACCACCAAAAGAAAGAGCTCGACGAGAGGAATCCAACGGCAGTTAAACCATCGAATTCCGACCACCGGAGAGAGAGTTATGGCTCCGGGAAGCAATTTCGCCGGTGGGAGGTTTGTGGAGGCGGAATTTTGAATCTGGGAGAAGAAGAGAGAGACCGTGAGTGGCTAGGGTTAAAACTGATTTTAGAAGGGTATTATAGGAACTTTAGGGTAGCCCAGGGGGTATGTCAAAATATTTTCGAAATGAGGGGGGTTTCATCTAGAGTGTAATCCACTTGGTAGTTAGTTCTATATAATTTGGAAATGAGGGGGGTCTACAAAATAACCGCTAATATTATTATGTATTATATATGTAAGATCACTAAAACTTAGAGTTTTTTGAATTTTGCAGATTTTAAATCCGATTTTTTTTTTTTTTTTTTTTTTTTTTTTTTTTTTTTTTTTGATTTCTAAGCAAGTTTTTTCATTCCATTTTTTTGAAAAAAAAAAACTTCTGGAAAAAATCGAAATTAGAATGATTTTCCCTAAGGGCATCTCCAATAGAGTCTCCAAATTGGGTCTCCAAATTCAATTTTGGAGGCCCGATAAATTTTTACAGTCTCTAAAAAAAAATTCCACAATGGGAGGGCTCTATAATTTTGAGTCTCTAAATCATGTTACGGATTATTTTATGTAGTAATTTGTTTATTGCTTAAATTTTATTCATATAATAGATTGTAGAAAATTAAATTTTATTTGAACAATCTTAATTATTTTTAATACACATTTTGATCCAAAAAATGAAAGTATCTGAAAAGATATGAAATATTGAACTACGATCGTTGGATATCATTTCAATTGATCTCGTCCATTAAATTATTATCTAATTATCTTATTTACATCTCCTCCATGAAATATTCTGAAAATATCTCAAGTATTGAACTACAACCATTGGATATGATTTCAATTGATCTCGTCCGTTAAATTTTTATCTATGCATCTTATCCACATCTTGATGATCTTATTCAGATTTTCATTATCTTATCAAACTATAATCCATTAGATTGAATTTTCATGAATCTTGGCTAGGGGTGGAAATCGGAACGAAATTTCCGATTTCCGCCGGTTCTGATCCGAATTTTTCCGATTATGGAACTGATTTTTGTAATCCGTTTTCCGAAAATCCGATTTCCGATTTTTTTCGAAAAAAATCGGATCGGAATCGGAATTCGATATAAATTTTTTGGAATTTCCGAATTCCGATCCGAAAATAATTCCGAATAATTCCGAAATTTTCCGAATAATTCCAATTTTTTCCGAATTTTTTATACTTTTAAAAATCTTTATACATTTATATATAGTCCATATTTTAATACTACTATTGAGGCAAACTTTCCAATTTTGAATTGGGCTGTAAATTTTTTACTTAAATATAGATCATTTGACCTATTTAAGTTGGCCCAATATGCAAACTACACTTCCCCATTTCAAACCTAATTTCTCGTCTCTGCCTCATTTTCATTAGAGTGCTGCGCCGCTTCTTCTTCCAAAAGAAAGAAAAATTAAAGAAAACGAAAAACCCTAATCAAGTTTTTACTTATTTCTTCTTCTCAGCCAGACCCTTTGCTCAGGCTTCTTCTACGTCGTTAGTCTGTACCCCATCGGCTTACTTCTTCGTCTCGATCGATTTCCGTCATCTAAAGAGAATCTTATTTTTTTTTTGTAATTTCTGTAGATATTTCATAATTTTAGGAATTATTTATGCGTACCATGTCCATTTGTTTTGATGATATGAAAGTAATAGAAATTCTTGATTATGTTGTACTATGTAGACAGATTAGCCACCGAT